TTGAAAATGCAATAAATAGTAAATTATACGGATTTCCTATTGAACACCAAATCTATATAACTCGTTTTACAGAATTTACTTATATTTTTCTTTATCAGTAATCTGTTATATATGGTATTCAACGGAAACCCGTTGAACATTCTTCAGTTTACTTTTAGAAGTCTGATTGAGATACCCATGTCCTCAGTGTCTACTTTAAAGTTGTCATATTTATCACGACACCAGGTATTATGTAAGTCACATGGTTCTCTGTAAACGACGCCTAGCTGCCTGGCTGATCTGTCGGTTAACGGTGGTGATGACTTTACACACATCTACTGTAAACCTCATTTGAAGTGTGTGAGTTATGTACGAGGTCGGGACTCATGTGTAATAAAAAGAGCGTATGTGTGTCTAGATATGAGAGCGGAAAACGTATATGTCCAATTGTAATGGCGTCTAAAACTGCATGTATTGAAGTAATGCGCTCGTGTCACGAAAGATGCATCGTTTGTGTAAATATAGAGTATATTGCAGACGTTTAAACACGGACTAATCGCTAACAGAAATCCAACGTGCACGTATTTCATAGCCTGTCATGCTAGAGGACCATTCTCCAACAGTTCGATTTTTTTTATGCCACTTAAATTGTCAATCTGTTGTATTTTTAAATTTTTTTTTTTTTAGATTTTTATTATTATTTGAAACCAGTCAGTAAACATCTTAGCCAGGATATTCTACACAAGAGGCTTAGTCTTCGCTGTGTGCCTTTAGGTTTCAGGGGCGATGTGCATTTAATTGCGAGAGAAGCGCCTTCTTTGTGGTATTTTCTTTTTCATTGATATGTAAATCAAACAATTAGAAAATCTAGGTTCTTACTGGTAATAATTTCAAATAAGATTTGATAGCATCGACATGAATAACCAATGTCATTCTTAAAAGAATTAGAAGTCTTCCCGTAGTATAGAATGGGTATCATGATAGGTTCTTAGAACAGTGAAGGCTGTAGTTGCTACAACTTTGGAAAGCCGATCACCGTTATCAAACAATTTCAAAAAGTGCGGACATGCCTTACATTAACTTCCTGCAACCAATCAGGCCTGTGGACTTATCTCCTGGAATACTATTTGAAGAAGGAACAAACAACAAGCAAGGGAAATGAGCCATCTTATGGTCATATCACCTATACAAGTCATCCATCCAATGGTCATATCACCTATACAAGTCATCCATCTAATGGTCATATCACTTATACAGGTCATCAATCCAATGGTCATATCACCTATACAAGTCATCAATCCAATGGTAATATCACCTATACAAGTCATCCATCCAATGGTCATATCACCTATACAAGTCATCCATCCATCAAATGGTCATATCACCTATACAAGTCATCCATCCATCCATCCATCCAATGGTCATATCACCTATACAAGGCATCTATCTTATGGTCATATCACCTATACAAGTCATCCATCCATCCAATGGTCATATCACCTATACAAGTCATCCGTCTAATGGTCATATCACCTATACAAGTCATCCATCCATCCAATGGTCATATCACCTATACAAGGCATCTATCTTATGGTCATATCACCTATACAAGTCATCCATCCATCCAATGGTCATATCACCTATACAAGGCATCTATCTTATGGTCATATCACCTATACAAGTCATCCATCCATCCAATGGTCATATCACCTATACAAGTCATCTATCTTATGGTCATATCACCTATACAAGTCATCCGTCTAATAGTCATATCACCTATACAAGTCATCCATCTAATGGTCATATCACTTATACAAGTCATCAATCCAATGGTCATATCACCTATACAAGTCATCCATCTAATGGTCATATCACCTATACAAGTCATCCATCCAATGGTCATATCACCTATACAAGTCATCCATCTTATGGTCATATCACCTATACAAGTCATCCATCTAATAGTCATATCGCCTATAAAAGTCATCCATCCATCCAATGGTCATATCACCTATACAAGTCATCCATCTAATGGTCATATCACCTATACAAGTCATCCATCCCTCCCATGGTCATATCACCTATACAAGTCATCCATCCATCCAATGGTCATATCACCTATACAAGTCATCCATCTAATGGTCATATCACCTATACAAGTCATCCATCCAATGGTCATATCACCTATACAAGTCATCCATCTAATGGTCATATCACCTATACAAGTCATCCATCCATCCAATGGTCATATCACCTATACAAGTCATCCATCTAATGGTCATATCACCTATACAAGTCATCCATCCAATGGTCATATCACCTATACAAGTCATCCATCTAATGGTCATATCACCTATACAAGTCATCCATCCAATGGTCATATCACCTATACAAGTCATCCATCTAATGGTCATATCACCTATACAAGTCATCCATCCAATGGTCATATCACCTATACAAGTCATCCATCTAATGGTCATATCACCTATACAAGTCATCCATCCAATGGTCATATCACCTATACAAGTCATCCATCTAATGGTCATATCACCTATACAAGTCATCCATCCAATGGTCATATCACCTATACAAGTCATCCATCTAATGGTCATATCACCTATACAAGTCATCCATCCAATGGTCATATCACCTATACAAGTCATCCATCTAATGGTCATATCACCTATACAAGTCATCCATCCATCCAATGGTCATATCACCTATACAAGTCATCATCTAATGGTCATATCACCTATACAAGTCATCCATCCAATGGTCATATCACCTATACAAGTCCTCCATCTGATGGTCATATCACCTATACAAGTCATCCATCCATCCAATGGTCATATCACCTATACAAGTCCTCCATCTGATGGTAATATCACCTATACAAGTCATCCATCCAATGGTCCTATCACCTATACAAGTCATCCATCTTATGGTCATATCTCCTATACAAGTCATCCGTCTTATGGTCATATCACCTATACAAGTCATCCATCCAGCCAATGGTCATATCACCTATACAAGTCATCCGTCTTATGGTCATATCACCTATAAAAGTCATCCATCTAATGGTCATATCACCTATGCAAGTCATTTATCTAATGGTCATATCACCTATACAAGTCATCCATCCATCCAACGGTCATATCACCTATACAAGTCATCCATCCATCCAACGGTCATATCACCTATACAAGTCATCCATCTTATGGTCATATCACCTATACAAGTCCTCCATCTGATGGTAATATCACCTATACAAGTCATCCATCCAATGGTCCTATCACCTATACAAGTCATCCATCTTATGGTCATATCACCTATACAAGTCCTCCATCTGATGGTCATATCACCTATACAAGTCATCCGTCTAATGGTCATATCACCTATACAAGTCATCATTCAACGGTCATATCACCTATAAAGGTCATCCATCCAATGGTCACATCACCTATACAAGTCATCCGTCTAATGGTCATATCACCTATACAAGTCATCATCCAATGGTCATATCCCCTATACAGGTCATCCATCCAATGGTCATATCCCCTATACAGGTCATCCATCCAATGGTCATATCACCTATACAAGTCCTCCATCTGATGGTAATATCACCTATACAAGTCATCCATCCAATGGTCATATCCCCTATACAGGTCATCCATCCAATGGTCATATTTACCTATACAGGTCATCCATCCAATGGTCATATCCCCTATACAAGTCATCCATCAAATGGTCATATCACCTATACAAGTCCTCCATCTGATGGTAATATCACCTATACAAGTCATCCATCCATCCAACGGTCATATCACCTATACAAGTCATCCATCTTATGGTCATATCACCTATACAAGTCCTCCATCTGATGGTAATATCACCTATACAAGTCATCCATCCAATGGTCCTATCACCTATACAAGTCATCCATCTTATGGTCATATCTCCTATACAAGTCATCCGTCTTATGGTCATATCACCTATACAAGTCATCCGTCTAATAGTCATATCACCTATACAAGTCATCCGTCTAATAGTCATATCACCTATACAAGTCATCCGTCTAATGGTCATATCACCTATACAAGTCATCCGTCTTATGGTCATACCACCTATAAAAGTCATCCATCTAATGATCATATCACCTATACAAGTCATCCATCCAATGGTCATATCACACCCAATCGTCATATCACCTTTAAAAGACATATGGTCTTGTTAAAAAAGTAGTTTTGAAAATGTATGGAGTTATTGAACTTTTTTAACTACTAAACAAAAATGTGTGAAGTATTTTTAATCACAGAAAAAATTAGACTAATTTAACTGACAACACAAGTAAATGTACAATAGAATACACACATGTACAGATAATGCTTAATACAGCTTTTTAATGGCGATAGCACTAACATAAATAACAAAATATATGTGCAAGGGAGGTAACTAACAATAAGCACAAATAAACGTATAAGGTATCACATACCTTCATTATATACTTGTCCTAACGCTATTTGAAATCAAATAATACAACATTTGATATCAAGGAAGTGTTCTTTATTAGCTTTTGTTACCAGTTTAGTGGTTCTTAGACTGACATACAGTAATCAAACTACATTGATCATTAATTAATAATACAATACCTGAAAAATTCAATATATTATACACATTCTTAGTTATAACAAGAGGCCCAGAGGGTGGGGATCTTAACCGTTTCAAAGTAATGACCCAGGGACTTTGTCTCCAAATGTGGGGCCAGACCCTAGAGCCATCCTGCAAGCAAATGTGCATTCTTCTCTTTATACCTAGCAATTGTATATATATGGTTAAACAGTGGTCATCTCCACCATTTCCATGTTATAAACCAAACATGATCGATATCCATGGCACGGGTCTACAGATGGTGTAGATTATAGTTATATAGCCAAATTGCCCCCGTTTTGCCCCGCCCCTCAGCCCCTGGGGGGTCAGCCCCACCATTTGTACAATTTTGAATCCCCACCACATAGGGATGCTTCCAGTCAAATGTGGTTGATATCCATCTCTTAGTTCCAGAGAAGAAGGCGTCCCAAGGTGAGCTAAAAAGGAACTTAAACAAAATGCTCTTACTCGTGTTACCGTATTCGGAAATATTCAATTGAAAAAAATCCTTTTTACAAGTGATTTCGCTAACAAAGGTCAATGAAACCGGTCTCAAAGCAAACTGAAAATGGCGGACAGAACATATACTATTATATTGTTAATCATTTTTTCGACAGCGGCCTTTATGTGCATTTCTTTTATTGAGTTGTCATAGTAAATGACGTCTCAACTCCGAGAATTTACATGAGATCTTACAAATTTGTTTAACTTATCACGATTATTAACGTGATTTCTTAAGTAGGTACTAACCATTTCGGGATTTTTAACGAACCGTATGTTACACACCTGGGGTATTTACTACTTGTGATAAAACGAACCGTATGTTACACACCTGGGGTATTTACTACTAGTATACTTGTGATATATCGAACCGTATGTTACACACCTGGGATATTTACTACATACATGTCATAAATCACATTAAATAATCTTAGAATAAATCTGTATGAACCAATAGAGTATAATACTATAATATACATAATATCAACTATTTCTGACGCAGTAATCAGCATGACAACATTGACGTCATTGCGCTTGCGCAGTGATCACAAAGAAGCATCTACTGCGGCCGACACCGGTCCGTGTGCGTGTGATTTATCCATTTTCGATATCCTACAGTAGTGAATGTGCTGTGTTCGTTCCCTGTTCGGGCTGTTAGAACCCTGGAAACTAGTGTTGATATCGTACTCCTTCATTCTGGTACAGTTACACAAAGTCCGCTTGAAAGCTTGTTGGTATTTTTTAGACATCAAATTGTACAAGATTGGGTTGATTGTAGAATTGAAGAAGTACAAGGCACCTGAAAAAGATCACATTTACAGTAAGTATATAAACAAATGTATTTAACACCTGAAAAAAAGGTCATTCACTGTTGGTGTATTATGTACACACATATAAAACACATGAAATAGTATACACACACATATTGAACACCTGATATAGTATATACACACATATTGAACACATGAAATAGTATAAACACACATACTAAACACCTGAAATACTATATACACACATATTGAACACCTGAAATAGTAAAAGTTGGTATATAAACACACATACTAAACACCTGAAATACTATAAACACACATATTGAACACCTGAAATAGTAAAAGTTGGTATATAAACACACATACTAAACACCTGAAATACTATATACACACATATTGAACACCTGAAATAGTAAAAGTTGGTATATAAACACACATATCGAGCGCCTAAATTATAAAACGTTTACTGAACATAAACACAGAACGCACATGACACAGTGTTATATATATTTGATCCCGTGTTGAATGTCTGATTTATGTCTTGATTATAGCTCCTATTCTTATAATTCCTGTCTTACTGGCCGCAAGTGACTTGTGGATTAGGAATACGTGGGTCATACCTCGAGTCTTCACATACTGTATGTATAAGGCTTCGGCACGTGACTAGTGGATTAGGAATACATGGGTCATACCTCGAGTCTTCACATACTGTATGTACAAGACTTCGATCAGGATGTCAGTGGGTGTGGGGAAAAAAGTACAATCAACGGTTTTATATGTTTTGTTACTTCGCCATCTGTGTATAAGGGGCAATACTCCAACTTATCTTTGCGATTGGTAAATTGGTAACCTTCACCTTAAAATTGAATAATTCGATGTTAAACAACATCCAGAACACCGGTGAACCTTTAAACAGTTTAACAGTGTTTTAGCGACATTTTCCTTGTGCATACCTTTTAGCATATCTCTTTCTTTTTGCGTATTCGGAATCAGAACACACGTTGGTAAATATCTTTCAAGTAAGATAATATCATAACGACTACTGACAAAGGCCTGGGAATCAGAACATTCGTTAGTAAGTGTCTACCAAGTAAGATACTATCATAACGCTTACTGACAAAGACCTGGGAATCAGAACACACGTTGGTAAGTATCTACCAAGTAAGATTATATCACACCGTCTTCTGACAAAGACCTGGGAATCAGAACACACGTTGGTAAATATCTACCAAGTAAGATACTATCATAACGCTTACTGACAAAGGCCTGGGAATCAGAACACACGTTGGTAAATATCTACCGAGTAAGATACTATCATAACGTCTTCTGACAAAGACCTGGGAATCAGAACACACGTTGGTAAATATCTACCAAGTAAGATAATATCATAACGTCTTCTGACAAAGGCCTGGGAATCAGAACATACGTTAGTAAGTGTCTACCAAGTAAGATACTATCATAACGCTTACTGACAAAAGCCTGGGAATCAGAACACACGTTGGTAAATATCTACCGAGTAAGATTATATCATAACGTCTTCTGACAAAGACCTGGGAATCAGAAAACACGTTGGTAAATATCTACCAAGTAAGATAATATCACACCGTCTTCTGTCAAAGGCCTTGGAATCAGAACACACGTTGGTAAATATCTACCAAGTAAGATAATATCATACCGTCTTCTGACAAAGGCCTGGGAATCAGAACACAAGTTGGTAAGTATCTACCAAGTAAGATACTATCATACCGTCTTCTGACAAAGGCCTGGGAATCAGAACACACGTTGGTAAGTATCTACCAGGCGCGTAGCTAGCCCCTTTACCATGTGTAAGCCCCGACAGGGGCCCGCCGAAGGCAGCCCCCCCCCCCCGAAGCACGAGCAGGGGGAAGGTACGGGAGGGGGTCTTCCCCCTCCCGTAAGGGGGGTCTGGGGGGTCTCCCCCATGACAATTTTGTTTTTTAGAACGTCTCAGGAGCCATTTCCCACGTCCTGATGTCTGAGATAATGATATGTTGTAAACTATAATATAGTTTTAAAAAAGGGGCCGGACTTGCCCCGGTCTCCCCTACACATGTATAATACATGTGTAGGGGGGACCGGGGCAAACACGGCCCCTTTTCTTTTTCCAAGACGTTATGGAAGGCATGTACTATACTGTTGAAATGCATGTTCATATGTATGTCATTTAAAAAAGAAATGTATTGTCTTTCATAAACTAATTACCAAATCGTAAACAAAACCATATTTTGGGAATTATTGGACTTTTTAGGTCGATAGAATTGGGGGCCGGACGGGCCCCGCCCTAAGGTAAATCTGGCCCCTACCAGGGCAAGTATGGCATGAAGGATAGAGAAGTCAATTTACTAATAAGTGTATGGAATTTCATTCAATTCTGTTGGAAAATAAGGCCAGAACAAATCAGTGAATACAAAGAAAAAAATACTTAATTTTTGCGACGTAAAAATATTATTTTTGTGGCAACTAGGTGACGTTATCAATAGGGACGTCACTTGGCACAATATCAGTTGCATTCGGGGTGGCCGAATGTGCCCCAAATTGATCTTTTCATAAAACAAAACAAAAAAACATTGATTTTCTGTGTCCACTGTGCCATACTCGGAGTCGTTTGCGCTGGGCGTGAGTTTCTCAATTTACTCAATCGAGCAGTTTAGTTCCGCCTGGAACTGTCCATTAATGCAATGGACATTTCTAAACTTCATACATTTTTGTACTAACTATTAACAATGTATCATTTCTGAGGAATTACATATGTATACTATATATTCAAAACTTAAACTCCACTTTATAGTATCAGCAAGAAAAAAACCGTCATGAAAACCTATACTTGTCAAAATCATGTGCAAGCCCGGGCTTATTGGCTTACATGGTAGCTACGCGCCTGTCTACCAAGTAAGATAATATCATAACGACTACTGACAAAGGCCTTGGAATCAGAACACACGTTGGTAAGTATCTACCAAGTAAGATAATATCATACCGTCTTCTGACAAAGGGCTGGGAATCAGAACACACGTTGGTAAATATCTACCAAGTAAGATTATATCACACCGTCTTCTGACAAAGGCCTGGGAATCAGAACACACGTTGGTAAATATCTACCAAGTAAGATTATATCACACCGTCTTCTGACAAAGGCCTGGGAATCAGAACACACGTTGGTAAGTATCTACCAAGTAAGATAATATCATAACGTCTTCTAACGAAGGCCTGGGAATCAGAACACACGTTGGTAAATATCTACCAAGTAAGATTATATCATAGACAAAGGCCATGGAATCTGAACGCATATAAATAAGAATTAACAGCATTGTTAAGGAATACACATTTACTAAACACTGAGCAAATAGTGTTGTCAAATGGTGAGTTTTGAATTGTATTGCTTTTTTCCCCAATGAATATTCAAAACCTTCGTATCAGCTTATCTACGTTAACGCAGGACCTTTTACAATCAAATCTCACCCCAACACGTAATATCGGGGAAACTAACATAACAAACGCGAAACAATGTATGTTGTTATTCTTTACCTAAAAACTATACCTACTTTTGCAGGACTTTGCAAACTCCATCGATTTTCCAGCCCTGCTTTCTGACCCAGTAACAATTACTCTGGTAGAAACATGAACAGGAAACACTAAACAACCGTTTAATTTAAATTGGCACTGACATTCTAACCCTCCTTTGTATCTTAGTTTATCTATTTACATGTAATAACGTCTTCCCACCAACAATTAGGTGTTATGAGTGACGCAGGGGGAACAATTTCACTAGACCCTGTACCACTGCTCGACAGACATGGTACGGAAGGTTAGCGGAAACAAAATATAAGGGATAGCGTGCTCCACAGGGAAAAAAACATTCTGATATAGGCTCAGACCTATATCATTGTGTCTGGCCAGTGTGAACAATTGGTCTATGTCCTCGTTGAAGAGAACACATTGCTTAATTGGAACACATCTATCTACATTGCCTACAGCTCTGTTGTGTGTGTACAACACATTGTACCATTACATCACAATAAGTGTCCATGCATAGACACGTCTGTACAATTATTACCAAGGTTTCTCATCAGGCTGGACCTAACAAATAGTACCAATAGGAAAATAACATAGTTAACTATATCACTTATACTTATCGCAAAGTCAGTTCATCGCGGAATAAACTTTCTCTTCTATAAACAACTTTAGATACGGGTATGGACAGCTCGTTATTCACTTCGCCTTTTATTGATGAAAGAGTGAGAAGGAGAGGTGATACAGCGAAAACCTGAAAATCCAAAAAACTGTCGAGGCAATAATTAATCCCTTTTTAGTATTAGACTCTTTTATTGTAGAACTATCTCGAACATACCAGAGCTACGAATCCCGTGCTTTCTCTCCCTAAAATTACGAAACAAGAATATTCTTGAAATTCTTTCCAGTCTTGATGTACTTCTATGACTGTACATAGCTATCAAACGCTACTCGACACATTACGTAGAACACGCTAACAGAACTGGTTCAGACGTACTTCTGTAGACAAGGTTTTACTATCACAGTCAATGCCAAATAATACTACACGGGGATGTCGTAAAATCCGTACTGGTGATTATAGTCATATTAAAAAACCATGACTCGGTAATAAAACTTTTACATAAAATACATAGCACCACCACTACATCACCCGATGTTAGCATGTATTAAGGCAATTTCTGACTGTACTTTTTTTTTACAGTACTGAGCCTAGTTGTAATAACTATATAATTTTATTCATTCTATAGGCAATGATTAATTACAGTTACCCTGTATTTTATAGGTAAAATTAGTAATTACAGCAACCCTGTATTTTATAGGTAAAATTAATAATTACAACTACCCTGTATCTTGTAGGTAATGAATAATTACAGCTACCCTGTATTATATGGGTAAAATGAATTATTACATTCATGAACAAATCATTGGCTGAGTCAACGGTTCCATTGTGTTTCAAGAAGGCACATGTTAGACCATTGTTGAAGAAGCCTGGAATGCA